GGGCCTGTGTGATGGCCCCCGACATCAAATAAAGATACCGGAGGGATGAAGGCCGATGGGCCTGTAGGATAGCCCCCACCATCAAATAAAGATGTCGGAGGGATGAAGGCCGAGGGCCTGTGTGATGGCCCCCGACATCAAATAAAGATGCCAGAGAGATGAAGGCCTATGGGCCTGTGTGATGGCCCCCCAACATCAAATAAAGATGTCGGAGGGATGAAGGCCGATGGGCCTGTATGATAGCCCCTGGTATCAAATAAAGATGTCGGAGAGATGAAGGCCGATGGGCTTGTGTGATGGCCCCCAACATCAAATAAGGATGTCGGAGGGATGAAGGTCGATGGGCCTGAATGATAGCCCTCGGCATTAAATAAAGATGTCGTAGGGATGAAGGCCGATGGGCCTATATGATAGCCCCCGACATCAAATAAAGATGCCAGAGGGATGGAGGCCGAGGGCCATTGTGATGTTGAGGCCGAGGGCCGTTGTGATGTGGAGTCACGTTGTGGCCGAGGGCCGTTGGTGATGCGAAATCACAATGTGGCCGAGGGCCGTTGTGACGTAGAGTCATGCTGAGGCCGAGGGCCGTTGTGATGTTGAGGCTGATGGCCGTTTTGTGATGTAGGCTCATGTTGAGGCCGAGGGCTGTTCATGATGTATAATCAGGTTGAGACCGAGGGCCGTTGGTGATGTGAAATCACGCTAAGACCAAAACCGTTGTGACGTAGAGTCACGCTGAGGCCGAGGGTCGTTCTGGTGTTGAGGCCGAGGGCCGTTGTAATGTGGAATCACGCTAAGGCCAAAACCGTTGTGACGTAGAGTCACGCTGAGGCCGAGGGCCATTCTGGTGTCGAGGGCCGTTGTGATGTGGAATCACGCTGAGGCTGAGGCCGTTGTTGATGTAGAATCATGTTGAGGCCGAGGGCCTTCGGTGATGTGAAATCATGCTAAGGCAAAAACCATTGTGACGTAGAGTCACGCTGAGGCCGAGGGCCGTTCTGATGTTGACGCCGAGGGCCTCTGTGATCTGGAATCACGCTAAGGTCGAGGGCCATTGGTGATGTAGAATTGAATTGAGGCCAAGGGCCTTTCCTTGATAGTTCCAGGAGTCCTCCGGGTGTATGTTCCTTCTTTCAGGCATCAACCGAGGGGGTTGATTCCCCGCCTTGGACGAAAGGGGGTCCAAGTGATCCGTCCGAGGGTTCGTCTGTTAGTCCCCCGGCGCTGGGCCGTCCCTTGATTGTGTCAGGAGGTCGTATGTTAGTCCTCCTGATGTGTGTTCCTTCTTTCAAGCTTCGGCCGAGGGGGTTTCTTCCCCGCCTCGGCCGGAAGGGGGTCCAAGTGATCCGTCCGGGGGTTTGTCTGTTTGTCCCCCGGCGCTGAACCGTCCCTTGACCTTGGGGGGTCCCGTCGTCTATTTACGACGCGGGCTGGGCTTGGTCAGTTTCTAACGACTGCCGTTTCACCCCCAAGTTTGGCGATTTCGTCACCTCAACCATTCTTTCAGGCCTGTCGTCGTGCGTTCCGCGCCGGCGACGCGGTGAGCGTCCCGCTCCAAAAACGCGGGCCTTTGCGGGGCCCTCGTCTTTAGACACCATCGACCATACATGGGCATTTGGCCTCGAAGGGGCGATAAGATGTCTGGGTTGTGTTGTAGTTTACTTAAATTCATAGAAATAAGCGGAATACAAGGGGTGCGTTGTTTGACAATGGCTTTGTTAAGATACACGGCTTGAGGCCGAGGGCTCTAGGCCGAGGGGATGATAATGTGCCTCGAGGTCGAGGGCCCAAGGCTGAGACCGAGGCCGAAGGCGAGGAACATGACTAGCGGAGGTGGCGTTTCTTCAGCCGGGGCTCCTCAAACTCCTCGTCATCGCTGAACCTCCCAATTTCACGCTCTTCGTTGCCGTGTCCCCTTCTTTTTTGTCAGTGTTCTCCCCGGCGTTTTTCCTCGGGGCATTTTTGATGAATTGGCGGAGCTCACCCTGTTGAATTAAGAGTTTGATGGCCTTCTTTAACGAGACACAATCGTCTGTATCATGGGAGGTGCTTTTGTGGTAACGGCAATAAGTGCCGCCTTGGTGGACGGCGTAGATCTCCCTCGTCGACCGAGGGTCCTTGGGGAAAATGTCCTGCTCTTCCGCATAGTTGAGGATGGTGCTCACCGGGTGCGTGAGGGGAGTCCTCGGCATGTCCAGTCAAGGGCGCCATTGGCGTTCGTTACGGCCCTGCTGGGTGTGGCTTCCATGGTCTCGGCCCCCGGCCGAGGGCGCATTTGGGGCCGGCATGTTGTTTGTCTTCTTCGAGGGCTGGCCCTCGTTCTTCTTGAAGGAGTGGAGGTCGTCGGCGTCGGCGTATAGGCTCCCCCGCTGGAGTGCTCTGAGGTATGATCTTGGGGGGTCGGTGATGAGGCTCCGTGCGTAGGGGCTGCTGCGGAGAACCCCCTGGAAGAGGACGAGGAGGGTACGCTCGTCGGCGCCCTCGACCTCGTCTGTCTCCTTCATCCACCGGTCAATGAAGGACCGGAGTGTTTCGTCAGGATGTTGCTTGACGGAGAGGAGGTGGGAGAAGTGCTTTCTCGTGTGTTTCCTTCCGGCGAAATGGATGAGGAAGCGTTGGGAAAGATCTTGCCAAGAGTCAATGTTGCCCTCGGGCAATCGGTTGAACCATTCGTATGTTGGTCCCTCCAAGGTGGAAAGGAACCAACGGCATAAATATTCATCCGATGCCCCCATCATCATCATGCTGTTTTGATACCTGCTGCAGTGCTCCTGGGGTCGGTTTTTCCTTCATAGGGCTTGATGGGTTGCCCTCGGTACTTCCATGGAATTTGGGCTGCCAATACCCTAGGGGTGAATGGCGTCCGAGTTCGGAGTTGGATGACGAGTTCCCCGGAGCCTTCGGCAAATTTCCTTTGCATCTCCTCCATCTTTGCTAGCATGGCGGTGTATTTGGGGTCCGCCTGGGAGGCGGAAGCTGTTGTGTGTGCTTGACGGGCCTCCATCTCATCCAGGCGGCGTTGGAGGGCTTCAATGATTTCGTCCATGTGATCCTTCGGGAGGGCCTCCGCCCCCTGCGAACGAACACGGACTGAGTGGGCCTGGTTGATTTGATATCTCGTGTCATCGGCATGGAGTGGTGCCTTGTCTTTGTCCTGCGGGAGACGTCTTTCGTCTGCCCTTGAAACGAATCCCCCGCTCTCTTGGGGTCTTTGGAACGCCGTTCCACCGAGGCGGTCTTGGACCCCTCGGCGGTCTTGCGCCCCTCCGAGCCGTTCGAGGGCGGAGGTCCTAGGCCTTTCCTTGTTTGCGCCACGGCGGTCCCGGGATTGGACTTCCTGGGAGGTGGTGTCTTGAGCCACGACCCCTTCGTCGTTCCCAACCCGAGGGGTAGGGTTCACGGAGGGGGGTGGACGCGGGAGAGGTATAGCGTTCTCCCCGACCTGTGGTTGAAGGGGCACCAGAGTGCCGAAGGCACCTGGATTTTGGGTGAGTGTTTGGATGAAGGCGGAGAATGTCGACTGCACGTCGATAGTGAGGACCGGAGGGCTCACTTGGTTTTTGCTCCGGTCCTTCTTTTTGGCCTCGATGCCGAGGCGGGCATCAGGAGCATTCTGTTGGAGCTGAAGGCGCAGGTCGACAGCCGTCTGTTCCAACCTAGCAAGGGCGCCGCCCTCGGGAGCCCTGTTAGAGGCTTCGGGGGCGTCGACGTCGCCAAGGGCCAGGTTCCTGTCCTCATAAGTCTTTGATTGGGCACAAGTTGCTCTCACCATTTTGATAGGTGTTTTTGTTTTTCCGAAGGGGGGGATTTCTTACTTGATTATTCGACCTCTCAACGAGAGCACCAAATGATGGATAAGTGTACCCGGGGGTAGCTTATCCGAGGGGTTATTGCGGAGAATAACTAGAGAGAAGTCAGGACTGTTACAATAAAAAAAACCGCTTAACACCAAAAGGTGTTAGGAGGGAGGAGATTGGATGCATTTCTTTGCTTTTGTGATTATACTTAACTAGTTAGACTAGCTTGGACAGTTGCGTTTTTCTTGATACATTGTACTATGTAAACTTTTTTAAATATTTTATATACCTACATTTCATCCAAAAAAATCAAATAAGAAATTAAAAATTATACAATTGAAATTTGTATAAAAGGAGATTTAATCACACTTTGAATGAAGTTATATAATTTACAGGTTTTTTCTATAATATTACTAATAAAAAATCTGTATACCAAAATGTGAGTATAAGTTACTATATGTATCATGTATGTTTCATAGTCACAACACTTATTTGTGATTAACTAGGGGTCTAGGGTCATATCTTTGTCCACTACTTTTATTTTGGTTATATATATGGAATTATTTCTATAATTTAATTGGATGAAGGTAATAATTTTTTGTCTCTATTTTATTAATAAATAGTTTGAAATAAAAAATCACAATTAGAAAATTCAGCACATTCAACTGATGTTAATATTACCTAGCGTAGAAAATCAGTCATGGGACTCATGGCAGTCCTAGTCTCGAGTTCCATATTTGGACCAAACCGGACTGTTCCGGTCACAGATTCAGTCACGGAGCGTTCATTTTTCTTAACTGTACTTTTAGCTTGAAAATGGGTAAAATAATGCAACGGGTCCAGGACCGGGAACACCCGGGGCCCAGAACTACCCCAGACCTGGAATTCACGAGTCAGGGCCGTCAAGCCTGGGCTGAACAATTTTTTTTGGACTGGGCGATCTCAGCTCGAAATCAGGACCAGACTGACCCAGGTCCATGCCTAATAGGCTAATATTACCAAACAAACCCCTAATCATCTAAACTCACGTCACCGTTATCTTTTACGGAGTATCGAACTCCTGACCTAGTCCATACAAAAAATTCAAGTCGAGAAAAGAGATTTGAAACCCGTCCCCAGGTATCACATTTCAAGAAACAAATTTTGAGTGCACATTTATCAGTGCACTTGGTTTCAACCACTCAAAATTTGTTTCTCGAAAAAGCGAGAAACAAATTTTGAGTGGTTGAAACCAAGTGCACTGATAAATTAATAAACATAGGTAAATAAAAATGGGTGATAGGGGAAATTGTACAGAGTACCAGAGTTTGAACTCAGGTGGAGGGAAGCTTCAAACATTGATGCCACAACTTCTCCCATTCTAACAAGCCTTTCCAAGTTAGCATACACGTGCATATTATCAAACCAGAACTTATACATCAATAACAGATTAAGAATGTTAGACCAGATTTCAGTGTAGGAGGAATTGCTGCATAGTTCTCTCGCTTAAGGTAATGATAAGTTCATAACAACTGCAACCTCAGTCAGGCAAAGCAGTCCCTCTCTCCAAGTTGTTCTTGATCTCCAGGGTATATTTTCCAAAAGCTCGCTCGATCTTTTTATTAAAATGCTCGTTACGATCATTGATAGAGTCGATATCTTTCTCTTCACGATACCTTCTCCTCCTACTGAATGATTTCCGCTTCTCCTCTTTGTCCTTGAGTTCTTTCACCATTCTCTCAATCCTATCATCAGAGACTTTTGGTGCCTGCTCAAATCAAGAATGTAAAAGCATAAGTGATAAATTGAACAAGCCATGACACATTGATTTGGGACTTATTTTTCCATAGACAATTTTTATCATTATAAAAAAAAACATACTCCCTCCATAGTTAAAAGATCACTACATTAGGTCTTGGCACAATGTTTAAGGGGGAAATAGTAGGGGGTAATGAATAGTTAGAAAAAGTAGGATAGAGGGTGAAAAGGTAGGAAAGAGAAGATAAAAAGTGGAAAAGGTATGGGTAATTGGGTATTTTTAAAGGAAAAACTTACCAAAAAGAGAAAATGTAGCAAACTTTTCAATACATCTCAAATAGGAAAGTGTAGCAAACTTTTACATATGGAGGGAGTATATGGATGTCGTAAATGACTTGAGGTGGGATTTGAAGAGATTTGGATGGAGTTGGGGGCGTGTTGATATGAAGCATTACATGGCATCTTACTCTTTATCACCATTACCTTTTGGTACAAAATAGAATAAATGATAAAAGAATAGGGACACTTTACTTTTCATACTATTGCCCTTAACCAAACAATATAATGATTACTTCTGAGTTCCAACACCTTCATTCCTACCAAGTACCAACCAACCAATCGAGAACTTTTTTCCTTCTATCCATCACATTTTCTTTTCCCAATGAACAAATAAACCCATAGTTGTAAAAGTCCAAGAACCCATTCTGATGGGTAAATTTTGGGATTCCCATCCCGACATTTGAATCAAACATGCCTTAAATAACCTATTTAAAAAAATAGGTACCTTTCCATATTGAAGACTTGAAGCTTCTCTATAAAACTCTGGATCAACCTCTTTCATTTTATTGTACTCTTCAAAGTCAACCTCGATGTTCTTTGTTCTTTTCTTGTGTGCATTATAAAGCGTTTTCTGATTAAAAACTGCAAAACAGGAGAAACCAAACAGTAAACTTCTAGTGAATGAAACGTTCATAATTAATTACGGGGGGGGGGGGGGGGGGGGGGGGGGGGGGGCTCTACAAAACAGCATACAAAGCATGGAAACCTGGAAAGAAATCAATACAAAGTCATGCTTGAAGTATCCACCATGAAGTCAGACAAACCAAACCCCAATAGATTATACAAATATCTAACAGTCAAATTTATGGGGTGCAAGTATATTTGTATTGAATAAGCAGGAAGGTTCATATGACTACAGATCATATATTTAACAATGGTTTGTTATTTAAGTTATTTATTAAGTGAAGATAGTGATGTATACCATCCCAACCAGCTGGGGCAGGTTCCTTTTCCCACTTCTTATACTTCGCCTCAGCAGACTCTTGTGTATCTAGCATGTATGCCTTACTCATAACAAGACCATTTGCGTCGAGCAACTTCCCAAGTTTCTTCTTCCTCTCCTCAAGCCATTTTTTCTTGGACATGCCTCTAGATTCTTCTGGGGCTTCTGTTTTTCTAATCTCCTCCACCAAAGCAGATTGATTTGCTATTTTTGCATCATTCTGTGCAAGGTGATCCAACAATAATAACAATAAACAAACAGTATATTTTGAGATTTTCCAAACCACATATTAAAAAAATGTGGGAGTGCACTCTTACCATCTTTAACCTCAATTCATGCAGCTTTTTCTCTCTCCCTGTAAGATTAGAAAGATCTTTGATGAGACTTCCAGTGTCTTCCTTTTCATATTGATCATTCTGAGACCGATCAGAGTCATCGGCTAAAAGGGCTTGAGCATCACTACAATCATCGGGTTGTGTTACCCCTGAATTAAACAAATTATTATGGACAAATATGCATTTATATATTTGGGATACACAAAAAAGATGAAAATAACAAATGTGCCTTCCTTCAAGACATTACTTGTATATAATCCACACTATGGAACTACTTTTTAAAGATGCCTTAGAAATTAGAAGATGGTACTCATGGTTTAAAAAGGCGCTTAAGAGGCGGGTTTTGAGACACGCCTCAAGGTGAGGCGTACAGAAAAGGTTTTGAGGCTTAGATTTGTTTTTCAGGACAAGAGGCTTACGCCTCCAAATTCAAGACATACGCCCTGAGGCGCTTTGAGGCACTTTTCTGAGGCGCTTTTCCTTTTCTTCTATCTTTTTAATGTGCTTGTAGCTAAAAAAGGAAGTGTTTTTATTTAATAAAAGGCTCATACATGATACATGATACACATGTCTACACTAAACCCAAACAAGTCTTGTTTCATTTAAACTCTAACCTTTACTCCCTATTAAGCATTCTGTGTGTCGTTAAAACTTGTTCATACTTCTGCACAAAGAAGCAGATGGGTAACTGTAAAAAATGTACAGTCAGATATAATTGTAGATAAGTTAGAATACTCGTGTAATTAGCTGTGATTTAATCCTTCTTATTAGATCAGAACTGGTAGGTAGTCAGATCCTAATTTTTAGGATCTTATCATTGAGGTTGTTAGCATTGTAGTCTATATATATTGTACTCGTGTGAATGAATAAGAGCAAGTCAGATAATTCTTTCAAACTTTCATGGTATCAGAGCTTTGGTTTAAACAACACGATGGTAGAAACCAGTGATTCTGATTCACACACTAGCAACCTTACCTCCCAAATTAGCCCTATGACAAATTACCAGTCTCCTATTCATTCATCTATGCTAATCACTAGTCATAGATTGACTGGAAAAAACTATTTGGAATGGTCTCAATCTGTCAAGCTCGCAATTGATGGGAGGGGAAAATTGGGCTTCCTCACAGGAGAAATCAAACCTAAACTTACTGGTGAGGAAGGCTACAGTACATGGAGGTCAGAAAATTCACTTGTTACTGCCTGGCTTCTCAGCTCCATGGAAGCCTCAATTGCCAAACCTCATATGTTTATGAAGACAGCAAAAGAGGTCTGGGATTCCATAAAAGAAACTTACTCAGATCTTGAAAATTCTTCTCAATTTTTTGAGATAAAAACCATTCTTTGGCAGTCCAAACAAGGAGATAGAGATGTCACCACCTATTTCAATGAAATGGTGTCTCTATGGCAGGAGTTGGATCAATACTATGATGATGAATGGGAAAGTGCAAAAGATCTGGCCAAACACAAAAAAAGGGAAGAAAATGACAGAGTTTATATGTTTCTGGCAGGAGTCAATCAAAGCTTTGATGAAGTGAAAGGAAAGGATTCTGGGAAAGAAGCCTTTGCCTTCAATCAGAGAAGTATTCTCTGCAATCAGGATTGAAGAAAGCAGAAAAAGAATTATGAATAACACTCCAGGAACTCTGAATGATACTGGAGAATCCTCAGCATTGGTGGCCAGGGGAGATGAAAGGAAAAAACCATGGTGTGATCACTGCAAGAAACTGTGGCACACAAGGGAAACTTGTTGGAAGATCCATGGAAAACCACCAGGAGCAGGAAAGAAGAATGTTGAGAAAGCTCTACATACTACCATGCCTGAGACTGAACAAGAGCAGCAAGTTGATTTCAAGCAGCCATCTTTCACTAAGGAACAGATAGAGCAAATCCTACAATTCCTAAATACCCAAAAGAACCCTAAATCAGAAAATCCTTCTTGTTCTTTTGCTCAGAATGGTAAAATTGCTTCATTTTTCTGTTCTGGTAAACCAAACACCACTTGGGTCATTGACTCAGGTGCAATAGACCATATGACCTCCACTTCCAACCTATATTCTTCATATAAACCCTGTGCAGGACAGTTGAAGCCTTTACAGATGCAGATTATGCTGGATCAGTCATTGATAGAAGGTCTACTTCAGGGTACTGCACTTATGTATGGGGAAAATTAGTAACTTGGAGAAGTAAGAAGCAAAATGGGGTAGCTAGAAGCAGTGCAGAATCAGAATTCAGATCAATAGCTAATGGTATATGTGAACTTCTTTGGGTCAGGAGAGTGATCAAAGAATTAAACATGGAACTGCAGTTACCTATGAAACTGTATTGTGATAACAAGGCAGCTATTAGCATTGCTCACAATCCAGTACTACATGATAGAACAAAGCACATTGAAGTGGATAGACATTTTATCAAAGAGAAAATTGAAGCTGGAATTATGTGTACACCATTTGTGCCTACCAAGGATCAAACAGCTGATATTTTAACAAAAGGATTGTTCAAACCAGTATTTGAACTACTCATAAGCAAGTTGGGAATGTATGATATATATTCACCAACTTGAGGGGGGTGTAAAAAATGTACAGTCGGATATAATTGTAGATAAGTTAGAATACTCGTGTAATTAGCTGTGATTTAATCCTTCTTATTAGATAAGAACTGTAGGTAGTCAGAACCTAATTTTTAGGATCTTATCATTGAGGTTGTTAGCATTGTACTCTATATATATTGTACTCTTGTGAATGAATAAAAGCAAGTCAGATAATTCTTTCAAACTTTCAGCAACTAAAAAATAAGAAAAATAAACAAGTAATGGAGGTAAATGATGAAGAAGAAGAAGAAGAAAAAGAACTTAAAGAACATTATAGTGATGATAGAAGGGATGACGGTGAGAAGGCTATAAGATATAAATATATAATGATTCTTCCGAAGACCCTTCAGTCATGATGATTAAGCTTCTAGAGTTTCAAATTGTCATCTATGTGATTCGTTTGTTTTGTGTTTGAATTCTCATTTTGAGTTATTGTGTTTGATTATGTGATCATATGTGTTTGTATTTGAGACTTTTTGGACTTTTATTATGCATATCTATAGTTGGTTATAACTAGTTTAACTATCTTAAGTTTTACACTTTTACTTGTGGGTAAATTTTGAGGCTTACGTCTCAATACGCCTCAAGGCTTACGCCACGCCTCTCTTGAACAAACCGCCTCGATACCCGACTTAGCCTTTTTAAACCTTGATGGTAATTAGATGATCTTATGTTGTAACAAACTAACAGGTATATGAACACACAACTAATACAGAGCAAATATCAGTTAATGTGGGATGAGGTTTAACCACTACAGATCAATATATTAACTACTTTTTGAAATTTAATATGACGCTGACCTGTTTCTGTTTTCTTAATCCGTTTCTTTGTTTCGGCGATTATCATGAAGCAGTACTCGCTGCATTCGTGATAAGGATTTGATGCATTTCGACAGTCAGGATGCACTCTTCCCTCTTCAGACATGCTTTTCAAAATATAACAATTACCAATGAAGTTAACTACTCCTTTTGTATATGAGCACACACGAGCTAATTAGCTAAATCAAAACAGTTCAGCAGTAACTAAACAGAGACACAGCCAATTAGCAAAACATGAATAGCAGTAATAAAGAGAGAAATTAACTTCTATGTACCGCGCTTAAAAAAGAGAGAAATTTCACTTTTGAGATGCTCAATGAAAAATGTGAATGGAAAATATATGCAATGATGCAATTGTGGATTCTCAGCATGAAAATCAACTAAGATTTGATGTATACAAACTCGAAATCAAATCAAACAGTAGTTAACACAAAAAGATCAGCAATTTAACCCATGGGACCCTAGCAGTTGAAATTGGTCCAACCAGCTGATCCGGAGGCAGCTGAAAATATCTCTCGCTGTCGTGAGCCTTCCCCAAACGCCTAATCGGCGGCTTCACCATCGCAGGGCTTCGCCCAGATCTAAGGAGCCGCTGGCGAGTTTGAAAAGTTTCTCTGGCGAGAAAAAAGAGAAGAAGAGAAGTTAGAGGAGAGACTCACCTGTTCGGAGGCGGCGGAAGATGACGGAAGCAGTGGCGGAGGAGTGAGGGGAGTTGCCGGTCGGAGAAGAAGGAGAAACGTCAAAGTCGGGGAGGCAGGAGAAGAGTTATGCGCAGGAGGGGGACGACTCCTGGCCAGAAAAATCAAGGACATTGGGTCATTTTAATTATAAAATAGTCATTTTTTTCAAACGAAAATTGATCATATTTTTATTCATTCAAACCTTATAAATAATATTTTTGTCAAATGTAATCATATATTTGAAAACATTAAAAAGAGTCATATTTTTGTCTCATAGAAGTATGAGAGTAATATTTGTGTCATTCTTTCAAAGATTTAAATAGAATAAACATTACTTTGATAACTTTTCCAAAAAGACAAATGTAATTCTTGCTCAAAATGAATGGCGATCATCTACACTATTCTATCTCACATTTATTCTCTCTCGAATATGTATTACTAACACAATCATACACAAAAAAAATTAGAGTGGTGCACCCATTTATTCTCTCTCGAATATGTATTACTAACTTCGTCCCACTAACATTAGAATAACATACAGTTATTAAGAAAATTGAATTTATGTGATTGATTTGAATTGATAAAATGAGAATGATTCAGAAGCACACAAATTTTACCAAATTTGATACACAATCTTAGAGGGACAGGTAAAAAAGAAACGATAAGACAATCTTATCTTCCATTTGAGAAATAAGGTCAACACTTGTGTGTGTGTGTATCTTTCTATTATACAAACAGCTGTGAGAAGCCAGATCAGATTCCCGCCCAAAGCTACAGTGTTCATACGGGTCGGATCCAAAGGAGCGGGTCAGCTGGTCCATCCGAGCAAGGTGCATGTAAAGTATGTGGGGTCTGAAGCATTAAAATGGATGTTGCAACCTGTCTTTTCAATTCGTAGAGTACATCTGCTCAAAGATTTACAAATCCTCTTGGGTCGAAGAACAAATCCAAAAAGGATTTTAAGGTACAATTGCATTTAATGTTTCTATTAGCATAATTCATTTTGAACGTAAGTTGCATAGAACGGTTTACAATTGTTTATTTACTGGATATTACTTATGGGGTATTTGTGTCATATATGAACTTTGTCCTTCCCAAGTTTTAGTATAAAAGGAGTAACTCAGTTTCTTCATTTTGCATTCCACCCTCGCACAATCACTGCAAACGACATAAATTCCAATGGCAGAAAACCAAGGAATGTATTCCTTCCTCAGGGACATTGACCACACCAAAACGACCTGGGCTATTAAGGTCAAGGTTGTTAGGGCTTATGAACTACCTCCACAGTCTCGGGGAGGAGAACGTTTGGAAATGGTTTTTATTGATTCACAGGTAGTAAAATTGTAATAAAGAGGTGCCAAAAAATGTTCAGTTTGTTTAAGGCAATCATCTTCCTTGCAGGGTGACAAAATTCATGGAGTCATCAAGAGGCCACAGCTGAGGAAGTTCAGGTCAATGATAAGTGAAAATACGGTTTACGCCATAAGAGATTTCTTGGTAATGGATAACTACCATACCTACAAAGCGACTAGCCACGCCTACTTGATTGAATTTTATGGGAAGACTACGGTTAAGCAAATAAAACCAGAGATTATTCCCAACTCGGTGTACGAGTTTCAGGAATTTGAAGTAATATAATCATTGCGTGTGGTTGATGACAAACAACTGATGGGTAACCTTCTATTTGTTTTGTTTTGAAGCTTTGGATAGAAGTTTTCGTGACATTCTCAGGGTTGTGCATCCTCTAAATAATGATAAGCCGTTTGGAGGGAAAACTATTGTATTTGGAGGAGACTTCAGACAAATCTTACCGGTGATTACCAAAGGTACAAGACAAGACATAGTTAATACCACAATTAATTCCTCATACATATGGCAAGACTGCATTGTTTTACGCTTAACGAAGAACATGAGACTACAATCGTTAAGTAACGATCGTGATTATGCTGAGTTGGTTGAGTTTGCTGAGTGGATAGCAAGTTTGGGAGATGGAACAGCAGGTGGTGAAAATGATGGTTGTGCTGATATACGAATACCAAGTGACATTTTGCTTCAAAGTGGTGAAGACCCTATTTCAACAATTGTATGCAGTACTTATCCTGATTTTGAAGCTATGCCAACTAACCCATCATTCCTAAAAGAACATGTAATTTTGGCCCCAACACTAGATGTTGTTGACGCAATTAATGAGTACATGACTGCATTGAATGTCACAGAGGAATGTAGGACATATTTGAGTTCTGATAGCATTTGCAAATCAGACTGTAATTCTGATTTTATGGCAGATTTGCATACACCGGAATTCTTAAATAAGATACGAGCATCCGGTGTTCCAAATCATGAGTTGACTCTAAAGGTAGGTACTTCGGTTATGCTTTTGAGGAACATTGATCATTCCATGGGCTTATGCAATGGCACGAGGTTGATTATAACAAGGCTTGGAAATCATGTTCTTGGAGCAATAATTTTAGGAGGAAAATTTGATGGTCAAGAAGTAGTCATACCCAGATTGACATTAACACCTTCAGATGCAAGAATACCATTCAAGTTCCAAAGAAGGCAATTCCCAATCATGACCTCTTATGCGATGACTATAAACAAGAGTCAAGGTCAATCTCTAACGCATGTTAGACTTTTACTAAAGAAACCATGCTTCACTCATGGTCAACTTTACGTCGCAGCGTCAAGAGTTACCAATCGCAAAGGCTTGAAAATATTGATCTGTGATGAAGATGGCAAACAGATTGATCATACTACTAATGTTGTTTACAAAGAAATCTTTCAGAATTTATAGTTTCACTACGAACAATTATTATTTTACTCTCCGCTTCATAGTTCGAAATGTTACATCTCTCTTTTAATATTTACATTTGACTATGCCAAAATAAATTACATTAACACTACGTTGGCGATGTTACAATTTCTCTTTAACTACGAACAATTACTATATAACTTACCACTTCATTATGAGTTCAATTATTTTTGTGTTTTTATAATACACTTCTTAATTAGACTTTGATACAATTTCGTCCGCGCATCGTGCGAGTGAGTATCTAGTATATACACATGTATGTATAGCCTCTTTAAAACATTGAAAAATGGGAATTTGAGAGAAAAACTAAAACCATATTATCTCCTTCGTTTGAGTATTAAAATGTGTACATCTCACAGTTCTCACAGGGAATGTGCACATTATTATAATTTTGATCCTCCAACGTACATGTTCTATAAAATACGAAGTATATTTTAGGTAGAATTTGATTTTGCACCTCATATTTTAGGTGATATTTGAGTTTACACCTATTTTCAAAATCATTAATGTATGCATCCCAATTTACAATAAAATCATTTGACATTACACCCTACTCCTTCACAATTTTTGGGTTGATGGAGTGCATACATGAATGATTTTAAAAACAAGATGCAAAGTCAAATATCACCCAAAACATGAGGTGCAAAGTCAATTTCTCTCTGTATTTTAAGTTATATTTCGTTTAACTAATTTGTATTCATAATGAGAATATTTCACGTGTGATGACTGATGAGAATATCATACTCTTCATACACATCTTTTGTAAACTTTTATTAGGAAATTCTTTTTCCTATATAGTGTGACCTTAGTCTTTTTCTTTCGTATACTCCCTCCAATTCATAAACAAATTCCACATTTGACTTCATACATATTAAGAAAATAAATTTGACTTTACTGTGGAGTGCATTATTTGGCACTGTTTGAACTAGGGGTGATTCGGTACGGTATACCGAATATTTTCTCTCATACCTTTACCGTACCAAAACTTTCGGTATGCAAAATTTATATACCGTTACCTTACCGAAGTTTCGGTATTCCGCATTTCGGTATACCAAAGTTTCGGTTCGGTAACGGTACGATATCGGTAAATTACTATGCATGTCTCTCAATACAACAAATTATCATAGACTAACGAAATATGCTAAATGGGTGTTACTAGTGACATATTTAATCCATTATTAAAATGTTAACAATTAATAATCTATTGATGTCATATTCAATATTGAACAATAGTTATTATTAGTATATTTAAGCAGTTCAACATGCCACGTATTAAAAACAACACCTTCTCCTAAAATGCTTAGCCAAATCTCAAAATTTGGACCATGATTTTGATTAGTATGGTATTATGTAAGTTATAAATTTTATACTTTTATTTAAAGTACTTTTAACAAAGAACATTTTCATATAAATTTTATATTATAAATAATTTCCAATAAATATATATTAATCGTCAAATTTTTGGATTTGACTAATCATTTTGGGACGGAGGTAGTATGATATTGTGCATTTAGTCATTTTTATAATTTAAAAAAAAATGAATAAGACCTTCGGACAAAGTTGTGTGCCTCGACTCGTGAAATCCCTACGTAGATACATCCGTCACATAAGTGTATCTCTCTTCATTCATCAGGTACTCAGCGACTCAGCCATGACAACTCACAAGTTCTTGGAACAAGATCAACTTGTTTTTGGACATTACTACATTAGTACATTACTAATTAGTCATTGGAGATTTTTAACCAACGAAAGTATTAAATTTGGGCTTCATAATTGTAATGGACTTTTACAATACTCTAGAATTAAAAGTAATTGTTGGGTAGGGAGTCGGTAAGGTATTATACCGGTATACCGCGGTATTGGCAAACATTTACCGTTACCGTACCGAAATAAATCGGTACGGTATGATAATGTACCGAAAATGACGGTATACCAATATTTCGGTATTTTCCGGTATTTTTTGGTACGGTAAGTGCGGTATACCAATTTTCTGATATTTTGCCCACCCCTAGTTTGAACACTGTTTGACACTGTTTGAACACTGTTTGACACTGTTTGACACTATTTTGATGTAGATAATTTTCCCAATAAAGAAATGTTTGAAAGTGGAACTTAATTTTGAATCTGCCCGAAAAGGAAAGGTGAAACTTCTTTTCGAATCAGAGGGAGTATTATTTTACACGCAATTCATAAGTTTGTGCTTGTAATTTTATTTCCATCTATTTTAGAGGCATCTATACTTTTTGTGAAGTCCATATCATCATGGTACAACGGTCTTGCAAAGATTTTTATTAACCTACAAAACTACTCCCTCTGGTCCTAAATAAAGTTCACACTTTTCTTTTTGGGTCGATCCAAAATAAAGTTCACACTTCTCCCTTCCTTATTTGGCAAATTATCTACATCAAAACAGTGCAAAACAATGTCAAATAGTTGTCAAACAGTGTCACAACAGTGTACTCTACAGTAAACTCAAATTTATTTTCTTAATTTGTGTGAAGTCAATCACTGAACTTTATTTAGAACCGGAGGGAGTATATGGTAAAGGTTGAGTAAAACCAACTTCACTATTGACAAGAGTATATTTGTCAAAACTCGAATATTGTGCCAACCAAGAAAATACTAAGGGTATGTTTGGGAGTTTGGAGGGAAAGGGAGGAGAAGACTTTGGAGGTATGTTGTTGGAGGGGAAAGGGAGGAATGGGTGAAGAAGTCCTTCGTTATATTTGGAAGTAATAAAATTGGAAGGAGATGATTTTTGAAGAAATTATAATTAAAAACACTTTGAGATATGACGAATTCAAATCATTGAGCTGATATTCATTTTTAATTTAGCTTAAATTACCTTCTTGTTAATTATTCTACAAAACCCTCCAAATTGGGGGAAATTAAAAATTAAGCATTTGAAGGGTTTTGAAGGGTTACAAAAGCCCTCCAAAATCATCCCCTCCAATTTTTTAAAGTCTCAAACATGAAAAGGAGAGTCATAACCCCATGTTAACTTTCCCCCGTCCTCCAAAACTCAACTCCCAAACACACCCTAACTATACTGCACTTAGGTAGTTAGGTTAATACGGAGTGTTACTTTATTTACACTTCATATACTTCTTGCATGCCAAGTTATAGTTGGTAATAATTGAACACGAAGGTAAAAAAAATTGCCTCCAAACGTGCACTTGCGACTTTCATAGTTAACTTTAAATAAATTAATTTGTAAATCATTGTGAGACAATGAACCTACTCTACCATTCATATTACCATACATTCCCTCAAATGTAGGAATGGATTTGGGCCGGGTCGGGCCCGGGCCGGGCCTAGGCCTGGTCGGGCCGCCGGTTCTAGAATAGTGGGCCCGGGACCGGCCCGAGGGTTGGACGGGTCCGGTTCGGGCCGGGCCACCCGCCCGGGTCACGGGTCGGGTCGGGTAATTTTTTTTTTTATATTTTATACTTTATAGTTTTATACAAGTATTAAAAAACAAACTTCAAGTGCATTTATTTGAAATGAAATAGGAACTACATTTGAAAATTAAATAGGAACTATAATTGTTTTTAATCGGAATCTCTGGCATAAGTAGAGCTACCCTCTGTAGATTCATCCATAAAGTGTTGGGATGGAGTGATGTCAATTTCTTGAGCTCTACGTGCTGCTTTCAACCAATCGTGGTAGCATATAAGCATCTCAAGAGATTCAGCGCTCAACCTCGTTCTGGTTTGTGTTAGAACATTGCCGGCCGAACTAAATTCTTGTTCCACAGCAACCGTTGAAACCGGCATTGATAGCACTTGCTTAGCCATCTTTGCTAAAACCGGGAACATTCTTTCTTTTCCCTTCCACCAGTTTAGTACGTCAAAATCATCATCTTCTTCAAAATCAACATCATAAGTTAAATACAAAGAAATCTCATTAATTGTGCTTTGTTGTGTAGCGGGAGTTGATTTTGTTTTTTTAATAAGATTGGCAAACGTAGATTTGAAAATTGATTTTCCTTTAGATGATGTTTGTGTCGGGGGAGGGGGCGCATTGCCATATTGTGCATGAAACTCATTGAATAATGCATAAAATATATCACTAACCTCGTTGTATTCTTTTTTCGGATCAATTGGGTTGTCCTCATACATTGGCAATGGACCAAAAAAAGCAGCATAATAATAATTCAAACATTCTTCTAAAGAACCAAGTCTAAAACGAGGATCGAGAACAAATGCAATACCATAAATATGCGGAATATGTGAATAATATTTTAAAAACTTTTCCTTCATAAAACCAGCAAAATAACTCACATAATCAGCATTCTCAAAATTTGAAAAAGCACCGGCGAGATTAACAGCTTCACGAATAAATTGGTTTGAGGTAGGTTTATAAACATGACTAAAAGTTTCAGTTGCATTATTAAAATATATCAAAGCATTACAAATTTTTTCACAGGTGTCGATCTCAGCCGAGTTTATAATATAGTTATCATATTGTTTCATAAAAGCAGGAAAATGTTGTTTATATCTAAGAAGAACTCCAATTAACTTATAGGTACTATTCCAACGAATAGACAAATCTTTTGGAAAAGCCACATATCTCTCACCTCTTTCTATCAAATAATCATGCCATTTTTTCCTAAGGTGTCCATTACCCCAAATACGTCTAATCCCCCCCTTGACTACCTCCAACGATGCTCCCAACGCTTTTAGACCATCTTGCACACATAAATTTAGAACATGACATGCACATCGTTGATGAAAAAATCTACCCATCAAAGAAGTAGAACCACACAATTCACGCAATCTAGGAATAGCAGCAGTATTATTAGTAGCATTATCAAAACCAATAGCAAACACCTTATCAATTAAATTATACTCAATTAAAATACGTTCAATCAAAATATAAATATGTTCAGCGGTGTGACGATCATTAAATTCACGGAAAGCAAGAACACGTTTATGCATATGCCAATCATTATCAATATAATGTACAGTCAGACCCAAATAATGTAAATTATGATAAGTATCCTCCCATATGTCAGAACATACAGTAACACGTCCATCAAAGTTTGCAAAATAATTTTGTAACCTTACCTTTTCCGCACCATAAAGCCTTGAAATTTCTTTCTTAACCGTTTTGCGACTATAACCTCTATATTGCGGATTTAAACAAGTTTGTGCATAATCACGAAAAGCAAGACTTTCAGAAAACAAATAAGGCAAATTTTCTTCAACAAGTAAGTTAGCCATACCTGTCAAATTTTGTGCATCATTGTATGAGAAATTACCAAAAGCTTGTTGATTATTTGCAAACCTCGATATTTGCGTTTGCTTCCCCGTTCCGCCGCCTAATTTTGCATACTCCACCGGGTGTTTGGACTTAAGGTGTCTTGTGGCGGATCCGTATCCGCCGGAAATCCCCAAGCTATAGTTTTTCTTGCACCAATTGCAAGTTGCGGTCCAATTCCCGGTGTTCGGGTCCTTCCACTTAGAAAAATTATTAGCCATTAATTCAGATTTACTTTTTTTTGTACCTGTTTGGGATGAGGCTGCTTGGTCGGCGTCATGGCTGCCGCCACCCTCCTCGTCCTCGTCGTCGTGGCTCTCCGGAATTGCTTCCTCCACATCGTCGTCCTCGTCCTCGAGCTCTTCTTCGTCAATGGTCCTCGGTTGGTCTTGAAAAAAGCGGGAATTATGTCGGTGCAATTCTTGTTCTAGTTGTTCGTCGGTCATCGCATCCTCATCCCTCCTTACGTAACCCGTATCAAAATCATCTTGACTTTGAGATGAAGAGCCGAGATGTGATTTACCTTTGCGGGATCTCTTCCTCGCAAGCTCGTTCGTTCGGTTGCGCTCGAGGTTACCCATATCAACCGAATATCTAGGACGATCCATCTAAAAAATGTAGCAATTAATAAAAAATTGTAAAAAACTAATTAAGTATTTATCTAACTATTAATTCGAGTTATAGCAAATTAAGTAGTGAATTAACTAGTTTTGTGTACAACATTATTTTTAAACTAGAGTCAAATGTAGCAATTAATAAAAAATTGTAAGAAACTAATTAACTATTTATCTAACTATTAATTCGAGTTATAGCAAATTAAGTAGTGAATTAACTAGTTTTGTGTACAACATATTTTTTAATAAAAAAATTGTAATTCCAACTATATTAATAAAAAATCGTAATTCCAACTATATTAATAAAAAATCGTAATTCCAACTATACTAATTAACTAGTAATTAAACAATTGTAAATAATAGAATAATTTCGTACCTCTTTCGGACTTTCGGTCTTTCGGATGGGAGTAATAGAATGACTTCAAATTAATTAGATATAATTCCAACTATATTAATAGATATAATAAATATATAAGTAATATATAATTAGATAACAAATATAAGTATTATAATACTATTTATATCTATTTATAATTTATATAAGTAGATAATTAATATAAACTATAAATAATAAATATAATATATTGGAGAATGGAGAATAAGAGAATTAGAGAGTAGAGAGTTAAGAATAGGATTTAGGAAGAATTGGAGAAGAGATATGAAAAAATGTTTAAGATTAGGAGTATTTATAGGTTTTTTTACACCCCACCCCCCACCACCACCCCCCCCCCACCACCCAACCCCCCTGGACCCCCCCTATAACCCACCCAACGGCTATATAGCCGTTTGGGTTGTCCCCAGCCCCACCCCCAACGGCTAGTAGGAGCCCAACCCAAAAAAAACTTTTTTTTTTAAAATTGATCGAACCGGACCCGGGCCCGGGCCCGACCCGGCCGGGCCGGGTCACAAAATGCTGAACCGAGCCCGCCCCGCCCCTTCCCCCCGGTTCGGGCCCAGACCCGGTCCCGGACCGCCCGACCGGGCCGGTCCCGGGCCCGCATAGTACCGGGCCAGGCCGGGTCACGGGCCGGGTGGCCCGAACCGAATCCATCCCTACTCAAATGCAAGTCACGTACAGTTACCCCACAGTAAAAAGCTGGAAGAAAACATGGAGTTGCCTTGTAAAATTGATTTCAGAGTAAATAATGATACATTTTAACGTAAACAAACAGATCATGCCAGTATGTCAATACTCAATAGCACTTGACGCAAAAACCATCAAATATCGAGTGGAAACTATACCAATGCAGGCAATGCTTACACAAAACCAACATGAATGACATAGAATTAGGATGTATTGACATAATTTAATGACCATGAATACATGACAAAGTTCAGAAAAACTACTTAGCAGGAGCCAATGAATGGACAATAAAGGCGTTCATTAAAAAAATAGAAAAAGGGAAAGAAAGAAAGAAGTTTGTCAAGTACATCATCATGTTCCCGACGGAGAGTATTGAAGACCATTTTTTCATCATCAACAATTCCAAGAAAACAATAAAGCAAACTTCATGCACTGTGAGAAGTTTGAAGATAAACTCATCAAGAACCGGTATTCTGTACTGCTCCCACCCTCAAAGTTATTTTCCTATCCTTTTTCTGTTTGTAGGCAAACCTCCTTTCCCAATTCATGTATCAAATGTATCATTAAGCTTAAAGAAGACGTTGATGCTGAAAAAATCAATACTAATGGCTCCTTGAGAAGATACATACGACGTCAAATCTTCAGCAGGCTTTTGATAATCCTCCCTATATTCATCCCACTCGGGAAACGATAACAATAATGCTATGAATAAAAGCAACAAAATAAATGTTGTTTGGACGGGGTGGAATACCCATTAGCAAGAGTCCCACGTCCTTAGCAACCCATCACAGCACAATTATACACAAAGCTACCTGATTGCTTTCGGCCAAGCATATGCCATTGTGGCGGTCCTTCGCTGGGGATCCACGAGTTCACTTCAATGAACCCTGGGCTTGTAGCCCTAGGCCCACCAATTACGATAAGGCTATCGCCACATGCTCTAAAAGCCAGCCCCCAACCATTCATGGAATCTGCACGTTCGGGCAATCTCCCAATCGTAAACCAAACTCTGTTTTCCTTGTCATACTTCCTTACCACCATGTCAGCATAATCAGCAGCATACAATTGGTTATTTACTACTGCAATCAAAGGTGGTGCTTCAGATGTAGACGGTATGGCATTTCCCCTAGCTTCCCCACCACGAGGCGGGGACATATTTGGTATCTCAGTCCAAACATTCCTCTCAAGATCATACTCCTCCCCGGACGTCAACAGTTTTGCTTCGGCTCCACCGATACCCCCTATCACATAAAACTTCCCATCCATGAACACGGCAGAACACATCTTCCGTGTCTTGTTCATGTTTGGTAATGACTTCCAGAATCCTGTCTCAGAGTTATAAAGCTCAGCTGAGCTAAGGATCTTACCCTGCAAGTCACAACCACCTGCCAAGATAGCAATCTCCCCTCGGCAGGCAGAACCAAACAAACACCGTGGCTCATTCATTGTCATACCCGACGACCACGAATTGGTGAACAGACTGTAACGATAGATGACTTGGGTCAGGATCTCCTTCCCAAACACAAGTAGCTCCGTTCCGACAGCCAAAGATTCCTTGTCTGAGAAGACAAAACATTCGTTAGAGTTCATTTTCGGAAGACGCATCCAATGGCGGCGAATGGGATCAAAAGCTTCCCATTCCAACATGTTGCATGAGAAATAAACCCAATGCTCAACTATACCATTCATGCGTCTTAGTTTGTAGAGCTCACCACTTCTAATTAATGAGCGAAAGCTTCTGTTTAAAGCAGCCATGTTGCCATAATCAGACCTTGAGCAACGAACAAGACAACTTATGGAGTTGTCTTGACCAATTCCAGGAATTAGACTGCTAGTGTCAGCATTTGCCCCATCGGATTGCTGATCACCAACTTGTGAAAAGACCATTAGCATCCCATC